GATGGCAGGAGACAAATCGCTTGATCATTGTCTTCGGTCCACCCTCTCTGGGGCACCAGGAAGACGCAGAGCAAAGCCCCAGAGTACACGGGCGGCAGGACCGCGAGGTCCCGCAGTCCGTGTACTCTGGGGCAGCCCCGTTCGTAACTGCGGATCCGACATAAGTCGGATCCGCGTAAGTCGGGGACTGCCTGTACTTAAGTAAACTTACAGACTTTCAGGTCAGAAGGGACTGTCGTGACCTCTTACACATTGCAGGGCACTCCTGTAACAAAACAAAAAAACCCACTAACCTCTGAGTTACTGAAATCCTCAAATTGTGGTTTAATGCAGGTGTCAACAACCTTTTCAAACCAAAGAGCCAAACTACATCAAAATTCAGAACAAGTGGTCAATAAAGAGCTATATAAGAAAGTCCATTTGCATGACTGAAAATATACAATTTAATATTATCAGTAATTGACATAATGATCAATAATAGCATAAGTGAAACATTGTACTCACAGACTTCATTTAATGGGACTTCTGCTATTGCATCATTTTGCACATTTCTTTTGAAGTTTACATCATAACTGGTCAAATCCAGCTTTATGCACTGTTCAGGTTGTCTTCCATCAGTGTTATGGCTGGGGATGTGGGAGTGCAGGATTCTGGGTTTGGGTGTATGGGGGGCTCGAGGCAGGAGGGTTTGGGCGTGTGATGGGCACGGGCTTGGGGTGCAGGAGTGTTATGATGGGGCTTCAGGTGTGGGGGTGCAGGAGTCTGGGTTGAAGTGCATGAGGGGCTCAGGGCAGGGGGTTCAGGTGTATGATAGGCTTAAGGATGAAGTGTGGGGTGGTGCAGGCATGTCACAATGTTGCGGCCAGATGGGGGCTGAGTCCCAATTGGGGACTTTTTGGCCAGGCCTTTTTAAATAAAGTAAAATACTATGTCCAACACAAAAGGTTTCAACATTGTCTTTCTTTTGTGCGTCACTGACCCACAGAAAAATCTGTTGGAGACCACAAAATTAAGAAGACTCTTCTCCCCCCACCCCCCCCAAAAAAAAACCCCTCCAAAAATCTCCAACCCTCACTGATCTGACACCCAACTGAGATGTCTCACTCCCTTGGCTCTCCAAGTGTGTGTGTGGGGACACACCTGTCAGTGAGTGGGATAGGCATTGAGGTGCAGGATCTGGGTGGGAAGTAAGATGCAGGAGCAGGCTTGGAGTAGGATGTCTGGCCAAGGGGGAGAGTGCAGGAGCAAGCTTGGGGGAAGTGTCTGGCCAGGGGTAGAGGGCAGGAGCAGGGTGTGGGTGGGTGTCTGGGCTGGGGGTTGGTGTCTGGCCAGGAAGGAGGGGACAGGAGCAGGCTGGGGGTGCAGGATCTTGGTGCAGAGGGAAGGGGATGCAGGGTCAAGGCCGCACTTACTTTTCCCCCCAGTGTCATTGTAACAGATGCAAGTCATTCCCAAGTGACAGCCAGCCATTGTTCCACAAGAGAGAGAGAATAAGTTAGTGGCCCAAGGGCAAGTGTGAAATGGAGGCCATGCCTCACCAGGCACACAGGGAGTCCAGCCAGCAGGTTCGGGCACAGATGGGATCCAGGAAGAAGGTGCTCAGGCTGATGACAGACTCCAGTGGCCTCCCAGGGCTCTTCGGCGGGTGCAAGTGCACGACATGAGGCGGGGGCATAGGAGTGCGCGGAGCAGTGGGGACACTGCCATAGCAACGGGGTCCTTTGCGGGCAAGATGGCGACCAAGTCTGCTTTTGCACCCAGCACTGCTATCAGGATTCCTGTCTTAGACATGGCTTCCGGCTACTCTGTTGGCCAGATTCTGACCAATAGAGCAGCAAGAAAAGTCTCCAGACAGTGCGTATGTTGTAGCTTTGTTCCTCCGGCTGGGGGAGGAAGAGAAGGAGCATGTGCAAGGAGCCATTTGTGGCTGCGGCTTTTTCCATGATTGCACCGCGAGACTCTGGGCTTTTGCCACCTTCTCCCTCTCCAATGCAGGAAGCTGGTGCTGTCTCCATCTTGCAAGGGGCTGGATCACCAGCACAGGCTCCCCATTGCGGGGGAGGGAAGAAGAGAGGGGGAGCTGAGCTCAAGCTGTGAGCCATATTTGACTCCTGAGTGAGCCATAGGTTTCCAACCCCTGGGTTAAAGACTTAAGGTTACAGAGAATTTACCATTTATACTTTTTTAAATCTGTAAATGACCCATGTGGAGATGAATATAAAATAAAATGCACATGGGAGGCTGCTCCAGCCCAGCTTGGTCCACTGGGTGGAGGACACTCCAATATAGTCAGGCGAGACCAGTATAGACCAGTGAGAGTGGGCGGGCTGGAGTGTGGTCCTCCTGCGCCCTTCCCAACCCCCCCCACACACACACACACGCAGCAGCCCACTGCTGTTTTAAGTGGTTAACCAGTTAAACATAACATTTAATCAGTTAACTGATTAAAAGGGATTTTACATCCCTAATGGCTATTGGGGCTATGTGCATCCCTATGCTGTGCATCCCTTGTGTTGTGACTTTTCATACGTTCAATTTTTTAAACTTAGAATACAGGTTTCTCCTTTCTACACTTGGAATTAAGACATGTAAAAAACAGTTACCAGTTAATTGTTCTTCAAATTTTCTGCTGTCCTGTTATGCTTCCTTGTTAAAATTATAGGCCTGATCCTGCTGGTTGCAAGGCTGTGTACAGGTTTTCAGAATTTTTTTAATCCTGCTTGAAATATCTTCTTATCACAATAGAATGTTAGTATGAATATATTAAACTTAACAATATGTTCCTCATATTAAGAGACCCAATTGTTTTCCCAAAACACAGGTAAAGCCTTATAACATCTATGTCACAGTTGCCTATCCTCCAGATACTGACACACCTGGCTTTGCAGAAGAAAGCAAAACAAAGGTAATTTAATTCATAAAGAATCTTGCATACATGTCCAGCATTTGTCTCTTCTGAAATAATAAATATTGTCTGCTGTGTTCATTAATGTTGTATAATATAGGTTTAAAAAAAAAATCCTAAACGTCATTAGATAATGATAAACATTTGATAGCAATTTACTTGTAAAAAAATCGTGTTCTCAGGTCAGAGGTCTGAGTTCAATGGAAAAAAAAGTATTTAAATATAACAGTCTACAATACATTTAAAAAATGTTCCTTACAAAGTCTTGCTGAAAATGCTGTAGAAGTGGGACCAGTGTCAACAGTTGTAAATCAATCTACTTTGCTTCAATGCTGTTTTAACAGAAACAAAAGTCTTACTTAGCTGCTTAATATTTAAAGTGTAAAACGTATTTGACTAATATGGGCCAAACTTTGCTCTATTACCCTCATCTTTGAACTAAGTAGTTTTCAAGGGTGTAACTAAGGGCAGATTTTGGTGACTTTTTTTCACCAGTCATGCAATTTGAATAGACCTCCATGATTACCTCTGTGTCAGCCCTTGGCCCACTTTCACATACACACACTCAGACAGGTCATTGGCTTAGATGAATTGTTTATTGTCTGCAACCTGTTCATGACTTTGAAAAATTCCCATTATAAAATCTTAACCTTAGCCATAATGTAAGATGGAAACTTTTTCTCTTAGTATTACATACCTTAATGTAATTCTTCTATATTTCTTTCCCCCAGTGTGTCTGCCAGGAGGCTTTTGTTTAAAATAAATAAAAATTCCCTAACTATTCTGATATACAGTGAACCCTCGCTACTTCGCGGTTCGACCATCGCGGATTCACGTATAAAATCTTAACCTTAGCCATAATGTAAGATGGAAACTTTTTCTCTTAGTATTACATACCTTAATGTAATTCTTCTATATTTCTTTCCCCCAGTGTGTCTGCCAGGAGGCTTTTGTTTAAAATAAATAAAAATTCCCTAACTATTCTGATATACAGTGAACCCTCGCTACTTCGCGGTTCGACCATCGCGGATTCACGACTTCGCGGACTTTTTTCATTACATTATGTATATACGTGAATCCGCGATGGTCGAACCGCGAA